CCATCTCCCCTCCCGTCCTGCATCCCCTCCCGTCCTGCATCCCCTCCCGTTCTGCATCCTCTCCCGTCCCGCCATCCCGTCCCGTCCCGCCATCCCCTCCCGTCCTGCATCCCCTCCCGTCCTGCATCCTCTCCCGTCCTGCATCGTCTCCCGTCCCGCCATCCCCTCCCGTCCCGCCATCCCCTCCCGTCCTGCCATCTCCTGTGAGATGTGCAGTGCGCATCGGCTGGGGGTTTTATTTGCTTTTCCCAGTGCGGCTCGGAAATCCCCTTTTCAGCTCACTTCCCCCTTACCGAGGGGCCCGCATCCTGGGAGAGCTGTCCAGCACATACGGCAGCCTCCGGACAAAATGGCCATGAATAGATTTTTCTGCCTAGTATTTTGAAATGCTTACAAAAGTACACCAAACATGACACTCAAATATGTGATTACAGTCTATCAGGTTCGATTTTAAAGCTGTGCTTAGGATTTGAGATTAAATTTATGGCAATATTTAGATGGTGGACAACACATCTATTTGTAATTGCATGGGCTTTTAAAACTATGAAGTGATACATTCATTGACATCTCTGAGTAGAAAGTTTTCACAGACTCAGCTTAGTCAGCAGATGTTTTCTCCAGGGGCACAGAGGGAGGTAAGGACAACTTTGTAGTAAAAATAATGATACAGTATTAATTTTCTTCTTTATTCTTTATAAACAGGAGGTTCAGATTTGCACCTTGGTTTGGCCCAGCATTGCAGGAGAAATAGTTTGGGATGTGACCTTTGCCATTGTTTTCTTTCTAATACCTGGATTAGTCATTGTCATCAGTTATTCCAAAATCTTACAGGTATGTTTTTCCCTTAAATTTTGTTGTAGAACAAAAGGAAGTAAACAGTAACTCACTAGACCTCAAGGTATTGTCACTGAATACAAGTACACCTAAAGGACGTAGACATCATTTGCTTGGTAAATGGTAAGTATGATATAAAATGAGGCACTTCATCCTGTACGTGACAGCCTATACATTTCCATTAAGAACACATTTCAACAGCACATTACCAGAAGGCCAACACAATTTGTTTTCATTGATATACAGTGTTTAATACACTTCTCCATTTATGTGCTGTTCATATTTGATGACTGTCAATCTCCTAAATGCTGAAAGAGTCAAGCATTTTAAATAACAAAAAAACAGAGTTTAGTTTTCTTGAGCCTAAACTCTCATCACATGGGATTTGTAAGAAAGCAAAGAGAGGCAGGACTTGAGAAAGTCCCTCCCCTTTCAGATCTATTGATTTTCTGCATGTAGTTTTAGTACACAGATCTCGTTAGATTACACTTATTCCTTCACAGTTTCAAACTCTGCAAACAAAAACTGTAAATTAAACACTCTGATTCCACTTTCTTTCTGAGTGGATTTTGCTTAACAGCAGAAATAAAGGCCAAGATAACAGACACCACAGAGTTTTAATCTATATTATAGCAAGGATTATATTAGTGACCTAAATTTCATTTTTAAACATCTGATTTCATACCCTTCTGTCTTCCAAAAACAGACTGAGGAAGAGCTAGAAATCTTCAAAGTAGGTGCTGCAATAGCTAGTTTTTAGCAACTGCCGCCAAAAGATTCTTGATTCCTGTATTAGGTAATTAAACGTCTCATACTATATAAGGAAAATTATAGGGTTTGGAAAGGAACCTCAAAATACACAGATTATTGATCAGGTAATTAACTAATGGAATGCTGAGCACCAAGGGACAATGGGTACATGCACCAGAGCTGCACGTAGATGTTTTGATGAACCTAGGACCTAGAGTCTGGGCTCTACATGTACTTGTCTATTGATCAAGCTTAAACTGTTCATCAAAATCATTAGCTCTTAGTTTCTGAACACTCTATAAGCTCATTATAACCTTGAGATAAATGCATTGGATAAACCTCTGCTAAAGCACTTGCTTTTTGCAACCTTGTATTTGCTGCAGGCAAAAAAAATACAGTAACTCAGTGAGGAGTCCGAGCCCTGTGAAGGAACTGCAAAAAACTGCAGGACAAGGAATGCCACAGCCTTTGGTCAGAGACTAGGAATGGAATGGTGTTCCTCTTGTCCTTGCAGACTCCAGATTACAACAGGTGAATTTAGAAAACAAAATTTCAGTCAAGGACCTAGAAGCCCAGCAAAGTGTTTGGAATACTGAGATTACAAGGCAGCTCCGTGCTGTCCATTTCTTTTCCAACTTGGTAACGCAGCTGCTGTGATGAGTTACCATTTCTCGTGAACTGAAAGAGGAATGAGGCGCATTGCAGGATCCCATCTGCTGTTATTGAAGCTTCTCACACAGCTCTCCGGGAAGCAACCAGAACTCAGCTGGAGAGTATCTTAAACCCTGAGCTATTCCCAAGAGCAGATTCCCAAGAACATTTCATGATGCCAGTGCATGCAGAATACAATGCTTGGTGTGGCTGGAAGTAATTCAAAGCATTCATGTATTCAAGTAACACAACATCTGTGATGATGATGATTCACTACAGATATAAGACCTCAAATTTCTTAACAAATATACTCTACCAATGTGTACTTTACAGTTTAATCTGAAATCGGGTATCTGATCTGGCAAAAATGACAGATTAGAAACCATTATTTGTAATTCAATTACTTGGGTTTGCACTGTTCCTCCCTCTTAGGCAGGACTTGAATAAGAGGCTAGAACTAGTAAAGATGGAAATGTTCTGAAAATACTTGTATAGATATGACTTCTAAGTTCCTGGTTCTCAGGGTGTGGTTGCCCACAATAGGTATCTAGATTCTTTATACTAGACAGACCAAAAAGGGATCCAAAACATATCACTGCCACCTCATTTCAGTTGAGCACTTCCTTAAGGTGCAGTTGAGCCTTATTTACTGCAGTTCTGGTGATTCCTGCGTTCTTAGTTCTAGGCTGTGCAGCTCTAGCAGGAAAGATGGAGGGTACTTACATGGGACAGACAGAAAGGGATCTGATGAGGTCATTCTGTAGCTGTTTTTGAACAGTGGAGGCTGAGAAGTGTAGAGAACTTGGTTTTCCCTTCCCACTTTGGTATTAGTCCTTCGTATTTTTTGAAACCTTCATTCTTACTTAGAAAGGCTAGGTGCTCTCAGAGAACAACTCTTAGATTATTTGGAGCAGTTAGCCTAGTTTCTGGATTTCAGGTGGTTACAGCAGAAGATCATCAGGCTGGAATAATTTTACATGTTCAAAACATCAGAATTTTCTGTTCCTTCTACATTAGGGAAGCAGCTAGTGAGACTGTCCGCTTCTTGGGATCAGCAGCTGCTGAGAAGCCCAATTTCGGGTCACGGGTTTTTATTTATAAACCTACATTCTGTTGAAATCTTTGGTCAATGTCTGTGTTCTTAATGTATATTTATTCTAGGCCATCTGTCTGTGACAATTTAAGAAAATTTCAGAAAGAATGACAAATTACTCCAAATATATATATTTTATAATATATAATATAATAGTTCTATATAATATATATATTTATATATATATATAAAATAACTTTCATCCTTACCTTAACCAGGATGCTATTAGGTATTACTGGCATGAACATTATCCTTCCTTTAGTTACTGCTAAAGGGAAATGTTGCATATAGAAGCAGTGGGAAGAGTTGTATTCCTTTTTAACTTTCCTCCTTAGACATCAAATTGATCCAAGCTTTTGAAAATACCCCTTCTTTACTCCTGTAGGGAGTAAGATGGCATCTCAGTTATTTAGTCTAAATGTTTGTTGGCTAAATACTTAAATTCTATTCTGTTTGCATCAGATGTGTGAATTTAAGAGACTCATTGTCCTCATTAAGTGAGGACAGGGAAGTACAGCATGAGATTTAGAGTTTTATGCATGCCATTGGGATTCAATAATCTACATAATGACAGATGATTCACACCTGTGAATATTGGGTTCCTAAACTACCCATAGTCTGATTTATTACATCAGACAGTTCTTTTACAAGACACAGATTTTCGTAGCATCAAAAGGATCTGTAAGAGTTCAGGTTAGTTCATAGAAAGCAATTCTGATTACTTACAGGAAAATGAAAAGTTTACAGAAAAATTAACTTAAAATCCTATTCCAATTTTAAATGTATCATGATTTAGTTACTGCAAAAAATTAATATGTTGCAGTTTCAGCAGTGCCGTAAGAGAACTGGATCGCGTTCCTGCTTGTGCATCAACAGGATTCTTAACTATGTTCCAGTTTGTGTTTGTGAAAAAAAATCAATGGGTTTATTTAGATAGTACAAATGAGGTCATAATTTGAAGTTAATGGGATTTCATGAGTAATTAAGGCTCTGTTTTATCTGAAAAGTATTTATGGCTGGTAGAGAGCTGTGTGGAGAGCAACCAGCTTGACTAATATTTAGGTGAGTTCACAGCTTAGAGGAAAAAATACTAGTAAAGTGAGAATGTTTGAAATGGAACCATCACAATAAAACAGGAATTCTGCAATGCCTTTTTTGTAGTCACTTTTCAAAACAGAAGCATCATGTTCCAAGATGCAGTTTTGCACTTGTAAAAATGTGTTAATAATTCTATGTTTCAATGAAAGTTCCTTTCTTCTCTTTTACCAGATAACAAAAGCATCAAGGAGGAGTTTAAATGCTGGTTTAGCCTACTCAGAAAATCATCAGATTCGTGTTTCCCAGCAAGACTACAAACTATTTCGAGCCCTCTTTGTGTTGATGATCTCTTTCTTCATCATGTGGAGCCCAATTACAATAATTATTCTTTTAATTTTAGTCCAGAATGGCAAACAAGATTTAAATATTTTGCCATCAGTTTTTTTCTGGATAGTGTTATTCACTTTTGCCAACTCTGCTGTCAATCCAATTTTGTATAATGTTGCTTATTTCAGACGTAAATGTCAGGAAGTTCTTCTCTGTTGTACAGGGAACCCTGTGAGGCATGGAGCTGGTACAGAAAACACTGCAAGAAGAAGTAACCATGAACAACCAAATTTGTCTTTCATTACCAGATAATTGTTTTAAAGCCTGAACTGTGCCATACTTTGGATGTTACTGTCTACATTATCCCAGGTTGGATAGGTCACTATGTTATAGTATTATATGCCAAAGAAGGGGGGAAAAAAAAGTTAAACCTGTATTTTTAATTCCTGCAGGTAAAATTCTCTTGCTTCAGTAAGATTTTGATAATTTAGTCCAATGGATTGAATTATCCATTTACACTGAAATAAACAGAAATATAACAGTGAATTTGGTGAACATAAAATAGTTCAAGTAAGTACTTACTGAACTAATTTCTGTGAGGGTACATTTGCATAAATGTCATTAACGTTACTGAAGTTATAAAGAATCTGTATCGAGGGCACCTGATACATTTTTACTCTATTTTCTACTGATTAATAGAGATCAATGTTCTAGTGAAAATGTACATACTCAGAAAGTACCTGCTCTTTTTTTCAATCCCATTTAAAAAAGACTCTTGTTTATACACTTAGATAACTGACTGCCTGAAGATACGTTTGGGCAGACTAACCAATTTTGTGTAGGAAACAAGATAATAAACACGTATTGTCGCCAAGTGAATGACCAATGAGGTTCTATCTCAAAAGTACAGACATAATGCCTGTTAATTTTTAAATAATGAATAAATAAATAAATGCTTACTTGTCATATATAAAATATATCTTTTAAAACAGTGCATATTTTTATGTCTTCAGCAATCATATAAGAAAGTTAATCGGTGATATATAGGGTCACTGAAATTCCTCCTTTCTAAAATGCTATTGAGAACAATTTGCAGTATTTCCTAGAAAAAAAAGATTACATTGTATTTGAAAATAAATTAAAAGTTTTAGAAAGCAAATACATATATTTTAGATTTTTTAAATTAAAACTCATTGAGTCAGAAATGGAAACCACTAAAAAAAGAAAGATTAAGTTCTCAATTATTGCCGTTTGTCACCAATTCAAATAGTGTATTAAAATAATGGTTCACTAGTAAAACCAGTGCCTACATATGTACAGATATGCATACAAACAATTTGCATCCCCTGTAATCCAAGTTTATTCAAATCTTTAATTGGTTTATTAACAAGGTGAGCTACACAGCTCAGATAAATATACTCAAAATCTAAATGAAGCCATTTTTAAGGTTTTTCAACAGAACACGCAATCAATGTGTTAACTTTACATCCATGGTGCTGTTACATGGTTTCTTTCTGCAGTTTTGGATCTCCTTAAGAGCAAAACCCTGAAACACACAAAAAACCAAATTTTGTTTCTCAACCACAGTAGACAAAATTGAAGTATACAAACTTTCACCAAATTTGAAATGCATTTATGCCTAATTTCTTTAAAATCTTCTTCACTTCAGTAGTTGTTACTTGTAATGATAATGCCAATACCTTGCCCTGCAGTTTATAATTTCAAATAATTTTCAACTTGGAACAAAACAAATTAATCCAATTTGTTACACCTGTCATGAGCATTTTAATACTTTGGTAAACAATGTACTGGATAGGTTAGTGACAAAATAATTATTTATGTACTTTAACAAGCTTCAAATTATCTGATTTTGAATAAGTATAAATTTAAGAATGTCTTTCAAAAAAATAAGAATCTCCTGACCTCCAAAGCATCTAATAGCAATAGTAAAATAGCTGAAGGAATATACCACTCTTCAGTTCACAGTTTCTGCTTCTAGTAAATGCTAACAGCAGATTCAGCTTTCAACTTCACTAACATGGCATTGTATTGTGTTTACAAATAGTCCCACCATGACATCCACACTCACATCACATAACTTAAAGCTACTTGAGCTATTACTCTGAGAGACTAAGTGTATCATAGTCTGATCGATGTTTGGAAAGGAACTAGCATCAGAAATGCAATGTAAGTTACAACCAAAAAAATGTCCGAGGCTTCTCTTTGGCCTTAGAGAGCTAGTATACAAAGAAGAGATACTTTTTTTACTCTTTTTTTTTTTTTTTTTTTTTTTTTTTTCCAATCAACATAAGATTTGTGCATCTATTAGGTTTTTGTTTTTTTTTTTAATTGAATTTGACTACAGCTTTAATTTAAAAAGCTGACGGAAAATATTTTTGCAAAATACTAGCTTCAAGACATAGAGCATGCAAAACTAGAAATAGAGACAAGCCTTTTCTTGCAACATCTATTTATGTCAGTCAGAATTGTGCCACTACAACAACTGAATGCAGACAATCAAAGTTTGACTGGTTTTGCTACTAATTCTGTAGTTCTTAACAGCAGATTTATAACTAAAGTAGCAAGGCTTCCAATCCACACATAAGGAATTAAGTGATTTTTGTAAGAGTTTCCAAAGTAAAGCTTTTTCAATAAATGCTTGTTGGGGTTTTTTTTCAGTTTAGCTCACAAACATTCTCTCATTCCCAAATGTGCGTGCTTGCAGGAACTCTGGCTTAATGATAATGGAGAATTCAGAAACAAGCAACACTATGGTAATTAAGGGTACTGATCACAGCAAGAAGTAAATGCAAATTTCTGGCTTTAAGTTTCATTTATACTTTAGTGCTGGGCTCATAAAAATAAACTCTAGCTTTATCTTCACTAAAAAAGCAGGCAGCATTAAGGACCCAGGCTACTAGATTTCATTTACAAACTTAGGGAACTCACATAGTCTCACAGTCTTATCAGACATTGCACTCAGCACCTAAAATCTGAGTATAAATTAGGATAGCAGATTTGGTACAACTTGGCAGATTTGATGTTTCTGTTCTGTAGGCAGCATGATCAATTGTTAAACTAAGGTTATGAAGTCAAAGAATATATAAGGCTGAACTTTAAGAAGAGATTCTGAACTTTTATTTTAAATCACACTATTTGCTCTATGTTCCATGAAAAAACCACTAGCATTCTACTATATAGAATTTCTGAGATACTTGAAATAGTTCTATAACAATTAATGGATAAATTAATATATTCAAATTTTCTTTTTGGTTTGTACTTTCTTGCAAAGATTGACAATACATTTGTTGCCTTGAAAGCCTCCTGCAGCATACAAATAAAAGAAACATAGATTCCAGCATGCTGAATCAGACCAGCACATGGAGTAGTCCAATATCCTCATTTTACAGTGAGATAGTACTTCCTCTAAGCTTGACAGAAATGCAGGGAACCGCTTTAACACACACCTCTCGAAGTCACAGCAAAACAGCTGTATATCTACACTTTATCTTAGATTTAATACAAATAAACCCCACATCCCTAATAATCTCATTATTTTGCTCTCTCATCTTCAGAAATTCTTATTCTTGCTGTACTTCATTTGAAAAGCAGTGAATACAGCATTCAAAACAAGAAGCTATAATGAATTTATATAATTACATTGTTTCTTTTCTATCCTACCCTTTATGCAATCATACTTATTCACAAAAGCCAGTTTCATTTGCATTTATGATGACTCTAAGTCTTGACTGCCTTAAATCTCAACTGTTTTTTATGTTGTCTGCAAATTCACATTCAAGACAAAATTTCTGTTTTAATTGTTGTCAGGCACTTTTTCCATGTCACTAATAAGTATTCTAAACACCATCCACCTAAGCAGAACTTTGAGGCATCCTGTTATCAGCATACCTGCTTTACAACATGGCAATATATTACTCTCTGTTTATAGATCAGATGAACAGGTAATAGAACCACAAGAGCTGATTGTGCTCATCTGTTCTGACTTTCTTTATGATACACAAAAGTTCCTTCAGCCAATCCAAATTTATTCCAATATATTATTTAGAAAAGTTTTTAATCTTGATTAACAGATTACAGTGATGAAGAACATGACACAGCTCTTGGTAAACTGTTCCAAAAGTTAATGACCTTTGGAGTTAAACAAATGGCTATTTATTTCTGCTCTGAATGTATCCAGTTTAAAGTTCCATCCATTTTAATTTATTATTCCTATGTTTGCAAGTCCTTTATTATCCAATTCCCTTTGCTTGTGTGGGCAAGCATAGACTTTGCTCAGGTCAGGCTTTAACCTCTTTCTGATGAGAAAAGATTTAGGTCTTTGGAGCACTCAAGAGAGGACACATTTTACTAACTTTCAATCATTTTCCCCTGCTCTTCTTTGAAACTTCTAATTCATTTGGCCTCAGCATTACATAGGGAGATCACATTCAGCTGATTCACCAGTCAAATCTTCTGTAGTTACTGTATCTTCCAGCACGCAAGGGTGGGGTAGGGATGGATACGCTACTATTTTATTTGTGTTCATTCTTTACTATTCCCCACTCTGGCTGTAACCTTTATCAGTCAGTACATTATGTTTTCTTCTAGATCATTTATTAAAGTAGTGTAAATTACAATTTGCCCTTTTCTAATGTACTTGAGCAGAAGTGAGCTGATCTGGAACCTTCCCTGTGTTGCAAGCTCAGCCTGACTAAATGCCTCAAGATAGGGACATACTGCCAGGATGGGTGATATGCCTCTCTTCCCCAGCCCTTTGTGAAATGGTTGGCATGAGGATCTGTGAGAAATGGTCTGCTATAAGGTGTCCTTTCCAAGACTTACCATTTTCCTTAAAAGCCTTCTATGAAGAATTTTTCAAAAAAGTTTTAAAAAATACATTCTATTCCCTTCAACAACTATTTTGTTGGGAAATGAAGAGTTCTGACTAAAGAGACATAATTTCTCTTTACAGCAACTATGAAGTTTACCCTTACTATGTTTACTCATACTACATTGATGTAATTGTTTTACAACTTCCTCTAATTATTGTTTCAAGCTATTGTGATATGCCGCCTAAAAAGCTGAACACCTTAGTTCTCCTTCAGATAAGTGAAGTAAAAGTGGGAAATAACTTACTACAAGCTCCAGTTTTCAAAAGACATTATTACAGCCACTAAGTAAAAGACATCATGTGTTTGCTATTTAATGAGCAAGAGACTCCCAGTGCTTTAGTTATTAAATCCTGAAATAAAATTATTCAGAAAAAAAGCATTCTTACCATTATGAACGATAACTCTGTATTTTCTTTCCAA